TTGCCAGCACCATTTGTTGAAGATGCTTTCTTTTTTCCATTGCGCATTTTTGGCTTCTTTGTCAAAAATCAGGTGTTCATATGTGTGTGGATTAGTAACAGATTCTTCAGTTCTATTCCATTGATCCAAGTTTCTGTTTTTATGTCAATACCAAGCTTTTTTTAAATTAGAGTAGAGCTTGAAGTCAGAGATGGTGATGACTCCAGAAGTTCATTTATTGTACAGGATTGTTTTGACTATCCTGGATTTTTTGTTTTTCCATATGAAACTGAGTATTATTCTTTTGAGGTCTGTAAATAATTGTGTTGGATTTTGATGGGGTTTGCATTGAATCTGTAGATTGCTTTTTTTTTTTTTTTTTGGTTTTTCGAGACAGGGTTTCTCTTTGAAGCCTGTCCTGGAACTTGCTCTGTAGACCAGGCTGGCTTCAAACTCACAGAGATCTGCCTGTCTCTGTCTCCTGACTGCTGGGATTAAAGGTGCACCACCAATAACTGGCTGTAGATTGCTTTTGTAAGATGGCCATTTTTACTATGTTAATCCTAGCCAAGAACAAGGGAAATCTTTCCATTTTCTGATACATGAACAAGGGAAATCTTTTCATTTTCTGATACATTCTTTGATTTCTTTCTTCAGAGACTTAAAGTTCTTGTCATACAGGTCTTTCACTTGTTTGGTTACAGTTACCCCAACTTATTTTATGTTATTTGTGGCTATTGTATTGGGTGATGTTTCTCTGATTTCTTTCTCAGCTCATTTATCATTTGTATATAGGAGGGTTACTGATTTTTTTTAGTTAATCTTGTATCCTGCCACTTTACTGAAGGTGTTTATCAGCTATAAGAGTTCCCTGGTGAATTTTTCAGGTCACTTATGTATACTATCATATCATCTACAAATAGCAAAAGTTTGACTTCTTTCCTTCCAGTTTATATCCCCTTGATCTTCTTTTGTTGTCTTATTGCTCTAACTATAACTTGGAGTATTATATTGAATAAATATGGAGAGAGTGGACAGACTTATCTTGTTCCTGATTTTAGTGGAATAGTTTTGAGTTTCTCTCTGTTTAGTTTGATGTTGGCTGTTGGCTTGTTATATATAGTATTTACTATATTTAGATATGTTGCTTGTATCTCTGATCTCTCCCAGACTTTTATCATGAAAGGGTTATGATTTTGTCGAAGACTTTTTCAGCATCTAATGAGAGGATCATGTGTTTTTTTTCTGTCAGTTTATTTATGTGATGGATTGATTACATTGACAGATTTTGTATATTGCACCATTCCTGCATTTCTGGAATGAAGCCTACTTGATCATGGCGGATGATTTTTTGTGTGTTCTTGGATTTGGTTTGCCAGTTTTTTATTGAATATTTTTGGGTCAGTGTTCATGAGGGAGATTGGTCAGTAATTCTCTTCGTTTGTTTCATCTTTGTGTGGTTTTAGTATCAGGGTGATTGTAGTCTCGTAAAAAGAGTTTGGCAGTGTTCCTTATGTTCTACTGAGTGGAACAACTTGAAGAGTATTGGAGTTAATTCTTCTTTGAAATTCAGGTGTAATTCTGCACTGAAACCATCTGCCCCTGGGCTTTTTTTTTTGTGAGACTTTTGATAACTGCTTCTATTTCCTTGGGGATTATAGGTCTATTTAAATTGTTTACCTGGTCTGGATTTAATTTTGGTGTGTGGTCCCTATCCAGAAAATTGTTTATTTCTTTTAACTTTTCCAATTTTGGTTTTCAAAGTATGACCTAATGATTCTCTGGATTTCCTTGGTATCTGTGGTTGTGTCTCCCTTTTCATTTTCGATTTTCTTAATTTGGACATTCTCTTTCTGCCTTTTGGTTAGTTTGGATAAGGGTTTGTTTATCTTGTTGATTTTTCTGAAGAACCAACTCTTTGTTTTATTCATTATTTGTATTGTTCTCTTTCTTTCTATTCTATTGGTTTCAGCCTTGAATTTGACTATTTCCTGTCATCTATTCCTCCAGGGTGAGTTTGTCTCTTTTTGTTCTAGAGCTTTCAGATATGCTGTTAAGTCACTAGTGTGAGATTTCTCCAAATTTCTTTATGTGGGCACTTAGTGCTATGAACTTTCCTCTTAGCACTGCTTTCATAGTGTCCCGTAAGTTTGAGTATGTTGTGCATTCATTATCATTGAATTTTAGAAAGTCTTTCATTTCTTTCTTGATCCAGTGGTGAGTCAGTTAGCACTGTTCAATTTCCATGAGTTTGTGGGCTTTCTGCGATTAGTGTTGTTGTTGAATTTTAACTTTAAGCTACAGTGATCTGATAAGATGCAGGGGGTTATTTAATGTTTATTTTTAGTATCTGTTGAGGTTTGCTTTGTTACCAAGTATGTGATCAGTTTTAGAAGAAGTTCTATGAGGTGCTGAGAAGAATGTATATTCTTTTGTGTTTGGGTGAAATGTTCTATATATGTTTGTTAAGTCCATTTGTGCCATGACATTTGTTAGCTCCTTCATTTCTTTGTTAAGTTTCTGTCTAACAGACTTGTCTATTGATGAGAGTGGGGTGTTGAAGTCTCCTACTATTAATGTGTGGGGTTTGATGTGCACTTTAAGCTTTAGTAATGCTTCTTTTACAAATGTGGGTGCCTTTCTATTTGGGGCATAAATGTTCAGAATTGAGACTATGTTGATGGATTTTTCCTGTGAAGAATATTAAATGTCCTTCTCCATCTCTTTTGATTAATTTTAGTTTGAAGTCTATTTTGTTAGATATTAGAATAGCTACATTAATTTGTTTCTTAGGCCCATTTGATTGGAAAATCTTTTCCCAACCCTTTACTCTGAGGTAATGTCTACTTTTGAAGTTGAGGTGTGTTTCTTGTATTCAGGAGAAGGATGGTTCTGTTTTCATATCCATTATTTTTTCTTGTGTCTTTTTATAGGCAAGTTGAGTCCAATGATATTTAAGGATATTATTGATCAGTGATGGCTAATTCCTGTTATATTTGATTTTATTTTTAGTGGTGTTAGTGTTTACGTGTTTTGCTGCTTTGGGGTTTGTTGGTGTGAGGTTATCTGTTGCCTGTGTTTTTGTGGGTGTGATTAACTTCCTTGGGTTGGAGTTTTTCTTCTAGTATTTTCTGTAGTGCTGGATTTGTGGATAGGTATTATTAAATCTAGTTTTGTCATGGAATATGTTGTTTTCTCTATCTATGGTAATTGAAAGCTTTGCTAGGTATTGTAGTCTGGGCTGGCACCCATGGTCTTTTAGTGTCTGCAAAGCATCTGTCCAGGACTTCTGGTTTTCAGTTTCCATTGAGAATAGACTGTAATTCTGATGTGTGCGCCTTTATATGTTCCTTGGCTGTTTTCTTTTGCAGCTTAGTGTTCTTTCTTTATTCCATATGTTTAGTGTTTTGATTATTATATGGTGAGGGGACATTTTTTGGTCCACTTTACAGGTTTCTTGTACCTTCATAGGCATATCCTTTTATAAGTTGTGAAAGGTTTCTTCTATGATTTTGTTTAATATATTTTCTGTGCCTTTGAGCTGGAGATCTTCTCCTTCTTCTATCCCTATTATTCTTAGGTTTGGTCTTTTCATGTTGTCCCAAATTTCCTGGATGTTTTGTGTTGAGAATTGGATTTGACATTTTCTTTGACAGATGAATCTATTTCCTCTATTGGATCTTCAATGCCTGAGATTCTCTTCCATGTCTTGTACTATGTTGGTTATGCTTCCATCTGTGGTTCCTATTTGTTTACCCAGATTTTCCATTTCCAGAATTCCCTCAGCTTATGTTTGTGTTTTCTTTATTGCCTCCATTTCAGTTTTCAAGTCTTGGACTTCTTTGATGTTTTTTTCTTGGTTTTCTTTAAGGGATTTATTGATTTCTTCCATTTTTTGTCTTTTCCTCCAATTATTTATGGAAATTCTTCATTTCTTCTTTAAGGGCCACCATCATTTTGACAAAGTTACTTTAGGGTCCTTCTCTTCTGATTTTCCTGAGTTGGGATGGTCAGGTCTTCCTGATGTGGTACCACTAGGTTCTGGTGTTGCTGTATTGATCTTTAGGTTGTTGAATCTCTCAGTTCTCTCTGTGCAGTAGATGTATGTGTCCCAGGGAGCCCCTGAGATCTTGGGGGGATGGATGGATTCGGGGCAGAGTGAGGGGCTGTTGGTGTAGCCTGCTTGCAGGAGTTTTTCCTACTGACTTGTGCTAGTGAGGCTGAAATGGGTAGGGGAAGGGTTTTGCCTCAGGACCTAGGTCTGAAAGGTTGTTTGGTCCAGAGGGAAAGCTGGTCACTCACCTCTCAGTGCTCTCTGTGCAGTAGAGTTCTGTGTCCCAGGGAGCCACTGAGGTCACGGGGAATTGTAGATTTTTTTAAATTGACTTTTGATTTTACCCACTTGGAGTTCTTGGCACCAGTCTGTCAGTCTGGACTCTGACTCATATGTGACTGGGGAACTGTTCCTCTGCTTTGCAATTCATTGCCATGAAAGAAATTCCCTTAATGTGGACTCTGGCCCTTCCCATGTTCTATTCAGAACACCGCCATGGGTCCTGAAATTTTTGCCAAGTCAGCGTTAACTTCTTTGCCTGGTGTTTAAAACTGTTCACACCACTGTTGAGTCTGCTATCCCTTCATTGAAAAATATACTTCAGTGAATGGTAACAGGTTCCAGGAACATGGAAGCAAACAAGACAAAATGTGTTTCTGCTATTATGCTATTATGAGGAAGGCTGATGTTTGAGTAACTTATGAGGTCGCCAATGGCTTCCTGGCAGAGTAAAACATTCAGAGGATGCTCTGGGGTAGGAATAAAAGTCAACTAAGTGGTAGGGGTTAGGGAGAAGACAAATTGAGGGGAGGGTGTTTCACATGTGAGGAAGTAAGATTAGGGCCAGGACAGAGTGCTGAGGGAAAACAGACTCTGGAAGCCCTAGGAAGACTGTGTGCCTGCTTCTCTAGGGACTGGGAACTCGTAAATGATGTGACATGACCAGATCTGAGCTTTAAAGTCACTGCTTTAAGTGGTAGAGAGTGGGGAGGTAGGGTCTCGTTCCTGCAGATGCCCTTCGGGAAGACTGCACAGACGTCCAGCCCCAGGATGGCCTGGCTTGTGTGTGAGTGCACATCCCTGGGGGAGGGGAGGAGCCTGTGAGTGAGAGTGCACAGGGCAGGGAGCTTGTGTGTGTGTGAGAGTGCACAGGGCAGGGAGCTTGTGTGTGCAAGGTGGGGGAGGGGAGCTTGTGTGTATGCGTACAGAGGTGGGGAGGGTCATATTTGTGAGGAGCTTTGTGGTGGGCTGGTTTGGACTTGGCGGTGGTTTGGACATGTAACTGGGACAGCAACTGAATGATCATGGAGAGTGATGGTGACATTCCCCAGACAGGGGAGGAAGACTGGATTTGAGGAGACAGATTGAGTTTCATGGGCATTAAATAAGAATTTTAATAAGCAACTAAACTAAAATTCAGGTCTTGTGTGACTTCTGGAGCCCACATGGCAAACTGTTGTGTGAATTTGGGAGTTAGTCTCTTTTTGTCTCTTAGATTACTTTTCACTTTTCCTCTTTCTCGAATCAGGATCTCGTTATCACAGCATCCCAGGCTGGCTTTCACCTCCTGCTTTGATTGTTGAGTACCACTGTGCTTCTTTATCTGTAAAGCGGGGATTTAAAGTTTCTAGGAGATCCAAACATGTAAAGAATATGATTGGTGCCTGGTGTACAGTGTTACGAAAACATTCTATTCACAATGCTCAGGAAAGTCCGAGTGGCTCAAATAAATGAGGGGTTTATTAATACAAGCTAAGTGAAGCTGCACGTGGAGCGGGGCTGATTTGAGCGTGAGTATAACGTGAAGAGCAGGGGGAGAGCTCAGGTCCAGGTGTTCATGACTCCAAGAATGATTCGGAGAAGAAGACAAAGCCTTGGCACCTGAGACTGAGTAGAGCAGAGAAGGAGAGGAAGGGGAAGTTTGGAAGCAAAGAGAAGGGCAGGTTGGCAGTAAGTCACTGAATGCTATGGCTGAAAAATACTCACTGATTGTCAGTTCACTGAAAGCTTTCCTAAGGTTTAGATGGTACAGCAAACATTGAGACCAATTTGAAACATGTAAGGAATTGGAAGACATTTGGGGGCTATTATATGAGGAGGTTAGCCTTTTAGAGAAGATCACCTAAGTTAGGAGCATGGACCACTCTCCTGGTCACACATTGTCCAGCTTATAAGGACAAGTCCCAGGAGAGTCTAAATTCCCTTCTTCTTGCAGAGGACAGAGCCATGCTCCCTTCTCTTAGGGTCCTGGCCAAGTTCTGGCAGTGGTGGAAGTAGCCTGTACTGGTTAAATCAGTGTAGGATTCAGTGCTCTTGACTTCAATGATGGCAACACAAGATGTCACCACTTGGGAAAAAATATGCCACGTTAGGGTTGGGGCTATTGTTCAGGCTCTACATGGAAAGTGTAATGGACCCCTGGCTCAGAGCACAGAGAGGGGACATTGAATCTGAACTCAAATGCTGTGTTTGGAAAGAAACCTGCCCTGTCTCATAGGGTGGAGAGGAGACTCCAGGTCAGAGTGACATGTTAGCAAAGGTGTGCTCTGGGCATGGGGAAACTGGGGACAGCAGCCAGGTCTGGGCTGAAAATAGGCGCTTTATGAGAACACTCTGCTTTTGGAAAAGCTTTCTTGTAATATCTCTGACTGTGAAGGGTGAGCCTCTCACTGTAACATGCTGTGACTTGCTAATGGTGATTAGACATAGAGGTGAACCACCTTGCATCATCTGGCCATGATTTCAGGCCACTAAGGGCTCCTAGGCATTCTGGAAGCACACGCAGCTCTGGATTAAAGATGATTGTGTTATACGGTTTGAGGCAGTTGAGCTCAGGTTCTTCTAATTTTATCCAATGAGCTGCCTCCCTAGCCCTTGGGGGCCGTTTTAAATGCAAAGAACACCGAAAATTCAAATCATGGGCTGCAAACATGCTGCCAAAAGATTCTGGTTCACAATATAAGAACTGAGACAGGGCTGAGTGTGCTCTTGTTTTACTTCAGCTGGGAGGCTGCATGACAAGTGACTCACAGTTTCACTGAATTTATACATGTGCATCTTTCAAATGGCCACGGCCTGGATTTAGGGGTTAGGGATAAGGTTAGTTAGTAGATAAATTCACAAATGGAGATTGCATGAGTAACTGCAGATCTGTGCATACTGTGTCTTAGGATCTATCATGGTTACTTATAATTTGAATAACAGGGCAGAAGCTAATGATTCAAAATAACAATAAATCCTTCCTAGGCTGTGATGGTGTTAATATGATTATTTTGAATTTCAAAAGCTAATTAGTCCAAATATCTCTGATTTTTATGTCTAGTACATAACCTGGGAAGACATGTTGAGAAGACATGAAAAGGCAGACCCCCTGCCAGAGACTGGCTCTGCTCCTGGGTGTGGTACAGCTGTGTTGTCTCTGTGCATACTGTTTAGTGACTGTTCTTTTTCTGTCTGTTAGGACAGTGCTTTCCTGAAATATTCCAGGGTGTTTCCTCTCACATTTTCTTGCCTAGGCAGAAGTCACGTATCTGTCCATTCACAGGTAAGGGGAGTGAGGCCGACATAGGTCATATGTCTGTTCATTCCCAGGTAAGGACAACTGTTACCGATTCAAAGCAACTGTAATGTACTCCCTGGACACAGGACTATACCCACTTTTCCTTATGTATGGGGCTCATAGAGAAGGTTATTTCAAATGAAACTAGGCCTTTGCCAGTGGAAGAAGATGCGTTAATTGGAATAACCAGCCAATGGTTTTTCTACTGTCCTTTAAAAAAAAAAGTGTGTGTGTGTGTGAGTGTGTGTGTGTGTGTGTGTGTGTGTGTGTGCGCGCGCGCGCACGCGCGCGCGCACGTGCATTAATGGAAAGAACTTTTTAAACTGTGGCTGGAGGGTCTGGGGTGATAGTTGGAAAGTGCTCTCCTTGCCAGTATGATCCTCAGGATGGGGCATGCATACCCTTCCACACAGGCTCCCACACATGTATGCGGGTTCACATGAACAGATTGAGAGTATAGTGTTGTTTTTTTTTCTTTTTTGTTTTTTGAGTGTCTAAAACCCAGCAGACTACCAGGTCAATTCCATAGTGTCTCCTGGATAGTTCACTTCTCAATGAATCTTCAGAAATTCTTTCTCCTAGCTAGAGACTATGATTGTTATGTTGTGATGAATTCCAAGTATCCCATGGAGAGGTCTCCGTGGAGAAGAACCAAGGCTCTTGGATCATAGCTATCAGCCAGCAATCCCTTGCCAGGCTTCTGCATGTACCATGCTGGGAGGTGGTCCCCCTGTCCTACTCAAGCTTCCTGCTGCTTCACGGCGAGGGGATGGAGTTTTCCCCACAGAGATTCACCCAAATGCTTACTCACAGGCCGAATACATACTTTTTTGTTCAAAGCTATTATAATTCTGAATGAATACTTAATAAAATAGACTAAGGGTTCAGAAATTCTGCTGAGTGCTTCAGATAGACTTTTTACTGGGTTCTTACACCTCTCTTTCTCTCTGATGCTGGTCAAAAGTGTCTGTTGGATAAAGAGAATGGCCACGTGGCTTCTGCTCTCCTCAGGAGAGTTATAGAAAAAAAGGAAAAACATAGATATAGTTGTAAACTTTCAGAGCCTCAAGAGATAAAACCCTCTGTTCCCAGGATAGAGAGTGAGCATGGGCACTTAGCCTGTCACCTGCCCCGGTTGCATGACACTTCATTTTCCTTATTTCCAAGTCAGTTTTACTGCTTTTAACTTTCCCCCCTGAAAGTCTCCAAAGAAGAGAAGAATTAACCTCAGCTTTTGTGATGAGTGACTCACTGATATTAGAGAAAAAGAAAAGCATTTTTTTTGTTATTTTACAATGTATGAAGATTTTCATCTACCTAAATATTTTTCAGATTTTTATATCATGAGATAAAATTCGTGATATTTTGGAACAATTTTCCAGTGGATGACAGGATTTCCATTTCCATTTCACAGTCATAGCAAAGCCCCTACTTTATGAGCATTATGGCAGCTGTGGTTTAAATGTTAAACGTTGTTCACAGGCACATGTGATTTACACTTGTTTCACAGCTGGCAGAACTGTCTGGAAAGGTTGCAGAACCTTTGAGAGGGAACCTGTCTGGAGGAAGCCAATGCCTGGGTGGGCCTTAGCCAGGGCCCATGGTGTTCACTCTGCTCTCTGAGTACAGATACAATGTGACCATCCAGCCTCTGACACCTGACTTTCCTACCTGCTGCCATCACAATTGACTCTACACCCCAGTTACTGTGAGTCAAAATAAATCTTATTCCTTACATTGCTTTTGTTAGAGTAGCTCATTACAGCAATAGGAAGAGCAAATAAAACAAAACCTATCTCAGTGGCTAGTAGACGCTAAGCTTCTGGGATGCTAAATTGCTTTTGAGTGGTGAGACATCACAGACTTAAGATATTATGGTTGCAGGACACAAAAACCAGCATGTAAAAGACAGAGGAATTTTTACATACCAATAATCAAACAGGCAACAGAAAAACTGAGAGAGCAATCCCACACTATACAGAAGTGTAGACAGGGGTTTCTGTTCTGCCAGTCAGCTTTGTCCCACCAGCCAGCTCCCAAATAAGCACACAGAGACTTGTTTTTATTTAAGTCCATAGTTTAGGCTTGTTACTGACTGACTCTTACATCTTAAATTAATACTTTAAAAAAAATCTACACTCTACCATGTGGCAGCACCTTTTTTCAACATGGCATGCTCATCTCCTGCTGACTCTGCATCTGGGTGGCGACTCTGTCTTCCTTCTTCCCTATGCTCTTTTTTGTCTTCAAATCCCACCTATCCTCTAGCTGCCTTGCTATTGGCCATTTAGCCCTTTATCAAACCAATCCTAGTTACAAGTCTTGTACAAAGACATTATTCCACAGCACAGCAGAGTGAATTTAGTGGAAGAAGTCCATGTATTCTGTGGCTTCAGGTGCACAGTCTGTTTCTATGCTTTTCTTCTTTGGTTATTTGGGTGGTGTCTTCTGATGAGAGTGGAACCTTTGTGGGGATTTGCTTCCTGTGCTGTTTGCTCTATAGCCAG